GTAGATCCACTGTTTCAAAGGCACGACTTCACTGATGAACCCATACAGCTTGTTGTAGAAGATCGAAACGACTTCATCAATACTGCAATCAACTAGAAGGTTCTCCCAGCATACATTGCTAATCATTGAAGTGAAAGTCGAATGGATCCGCTACACGGACAATATCTCTTTCACTTGCAGTTTCAATCACCAGAGCAAGTGAAAATAAAATTGAAAAAACAGGTTTTTTTGTCATAATTTGGAACAATATTTACTTCAGAGAAAATTGCGCTTTAAGCTTTAAACGCAAATGTAAAATATTTGGCAACACTGTACAAAATTATCAAATTCATATTTTGATTATTTGTCTAATTTCCTCATAAAAACACTCTATAATCTCACTTGATATATTCATAAAAGAAAGAAGTTCTTTCTTGAAAATCACGAACAATGCAAAATTTTCCCCTGGACCGAGGGATGCTTTGATCGTCCTAAAAATGTGGATTCCTAAAAGTTAGACTTATTTTAGTAGTAAACATATCCTCCCAATTTCGTCCAAATCAAAAAGGGTCAATTTTTCTCGGTCACTTGGCGCGGAATGACCCAATATGTATTGCGCTTTGCAGCATCTAATATATTTATTCTACAAAGCAAGTTCCAGGTGATCTAAAACCATCTTAATATGATGTTAATAAACTGTGCATGGACACGTACTAGCCCAAGGGCCCCTAAAACATTCCCAGAAATCATTTGCCTAGCCCCTCGTATATCAAGCCACTTTATTCGATCTCACTCGATAGATACATCGTCATCGCCTTCGTCCATCCATCCATCCATCTAAAGTTCACCGCCCAAAGGCAACATCCTCGGAAAGCTTAGCTCCAAAAAGGAAAATACTTTCGAAGCACACTCCGCAGCAGCACGAGAAAAGCATTGCAAGCCGTTGTCCTGCCTGCTACCCTTCCAACAACATCCACCACCCACCGGCTCCACAGGCACCTGCCCTTCTTTTAGCAATCGCATGGAGAGGAGCTTCTGCTGATACCGTTGCTGACTAACTGCTACATCAGTGCTTATGCTTGCTCGCTCCCGTACAAACCACCCCGCCACAGAAGATGCTGATGCGTCCGATTGAACGAAAGTCGAAAAACGTGTTGTGCGTCTAATGAAAATAATCAAATTTGACAAACGAGCAAAGGCTCTCGGAAAGCGGATGATTTTCAGGCAGGAGGGGGAAAGCAAAAAAATGTATCGAAATGGAAAAATCCATTGGAGGGAAAATTGCGTGCTGTGCGTATGGAAGCACAACTCCGTACGTTGCTAATTAGGTTCGCTTGCCTCTGGCCGACGAATGCTAACAAAGGAACTCCAACAACATGCCACACCACAACGGTAATGAATTGCAATCGATGGCCAACTAGTGTTGTACGAAACTTGACGCTTAACCGGGGTGGTCAAGGAGTAAAAAAAAATAACCATCAACTATCGCTTCACGGGCTGGAAAAAGTATGCACAAATCTGCGAACGATTAAAGCTTGATGTTAGATTAAAATTTGAATTTTACATTAGTTGCTCTTAAGGTCCTTTTTGGAACGGTCGATTACTGAACGATTATGGGGATTGTTGAAAGTCATTATGAAAATGCTACTTCTGCTACTCGCAATCGTTGGAGCACTGTTGGCATTCCAATATCGGAAACTCCTGCTCGCAGGCAGCTAAGCTGACAAGATCTAACCGTTTCAATCCGTGTATCCGATTCTCGGTCATATTCCCTTGCTCTGCGGCAAAGGGACCCATAAAGCATTCGTGCTCATTACGAAGCTATTTGCATCCGTCAATCGGCTGGGTAAGCTTTTGCTCGGACCAAAACCATGGATTGTAGTGGTCCATCCGAATCTGATAAGCCATTTTAGTACAACTTTATTGGTGTGGGCAATGGATTGATCGCGGATCGATGTGAGTATGAAAGGAAGGTGTTTTTCAAGCTGAAAATGTGCAGTGTGTGTGTGTGATTTTTTATAGTACGAGAAAACATTCAAAAATTCATAAGGTTACTCCAGCAATTGCTCAGAAGCAGCTGAGGTTTGCTAATGCAGGCCCCGTGTGTGGGGTTCTATCCCATCAAAACCTAATCTCGCCTCTAACTTTCAGGGGGAGAGTGCTCATGCACCTCCCTTTAGCCCAGGAGTGTATAAAACACCCCCTCACATTTCTATGAATACACCGTTTATTTAAATGCGACAATGATGGGCAATCTAAGTAATTAGTGAGAGCAGTGGAAGTAGGGTCGGAAGTAGGCTCGGAAGTAGGCTCGGAAGTAGGCTCGGAAGTAGGCTCAGAAGTAGGCTCGAAAGTAGGCTCGGAAGTAGTCTCGGAAGTAGGGTCGGAAGTAGGGTTGGAAGTAGGCTCGTAAGTAGGGTCGGAAGTAGGGTCGGAAGTAGGGTCGGAAGTAGGGTCAGAAGTAGGGTCAGAAGTAGGGTCAGAAGTAGGCTCGGAAGTAGGGTTGGAAGTAGGGTCGGAAGTAGGCTCGGAAGTAGGGTCGGAAGTAGGGTCGGAAGTAGGGTTGGAAGTAAGGTCGGAAGTAGGGTCGGAAGTAGGGTCGGAAGTAGGGTCGGAAGTAGGGTCGGAAGTAGGGTCGGAAGTAGGGTCGGAAGTAGGCTCGGAAGTAGGCTCGGAAGTAGGGTCGGAAGTAGGGTCGGAAGTAGGGTCAGAAGTAGGGTCAGAAGTAGGGTCAGAAGTAGGCTCGGAAGTAGGGTTGGAAGTAGGGTCGGAAGTAGGCTCGGAAGTAGGGTCGGAAGTAGGGTCGGAAGTAGGGTTGGAAGTAAGGTCGGAAGTAGGGTCGGAAGTAGGGTCGGAAGTAGGGTCGGAAGTAGGGTCGGAAGTAGGGTCGGAAGTAGGCTCGGAAGTAGGCTCGGAAGTAGGGTCGGAAGTAGGGTCGGAAGTAGGGTCGGAAGTAGGGTCGGAAGTAGGGTCGGAAGTAGGGTCAGAAGTAGGGTCAGAAGTAGGGTCGGAAGTAGCGTCGGAAGTAGGGTGCGAAGTAGGATCGGAAGTAGAGGTGGAAGTAGGATCGGAAGTGTGGTTGGAACTAGATTCGGAAGTAGGGTTGGAAGTAGGGTTGGAAGTAGGGTTGGAAGTAGAGTTGGAAGTAGGGTTGGAAGTAGGGTTGGAAAGGAAGTAGGATTGGACATCGGAAGTCAGATTTTACTAGCGTTATAATATTGGCCACTTCAGAAAGTGGACTTCAGAAAGTGATATCGATAATAAATTCTTAATCATCTTTGGGGAAGGTGCTGATAGTTCCTGGTTGATAGGCTATATCATATTAATTAATATTTATGAAAATCTAGTTACGTGCAATCCGATTAAGCAAGCTTCTTCATCAACGCAAAATCATCCATCAATCATTCCAGCCGGCGATCGATGGCTCCAGGCCCGCAAACTTCTCAATACAACCTTAAACACCCGTATGCTGACCGGGTTCCTGGCGATTATGAATTACAAAGCAATGCAAATGCTCAACGATTTGAAACCTCTGGCCGATGGCCACACCGAGATCGACATCTTCAAATATATATATATCCAGCTGCACCCTGAAAATGGCGTACATAACCACGATGGGATAAGACAATGTTCCCGGGCAGCAGAACTACGTGCGCAATTTGGAAATGTTGTTTGCACGGATCTATTTGGAGATGAATGAGCAATATTAATTTTCAACAATGATTTCAGACTTATGAACATAGTGGGTGAGCGATTGGTTAACATAATTCAATTCATTGGTCCATTATACCGGATTTCAAAATCATACAGATGACATGAGAAAGCGCTAAAAATTTGCAATGGATTTTCTGATAGAGTTGCGTTTTGTTTTGAATCAAACAAAAGGAATACGAACTACTGAAATACTTATTTTCCAGGTCATTCAAAAGAGGCGTCAATAACTGAAAACACTTGGCGAAAATGTTCGGCAAAATGACGAATACACAAGGCAATCATTGAACACATTAGATCAAGTCACTACAATTCGGAAGCCAGATGGTACCGGTTTCTCGGATACGGAAGCTGGTGATCATTTGTGTTCCCTGATCGCGGCTGTGAGTTTGATTCTTCGGTACATTTAATAGCTTTACAAACGCATTCAATTCACAGGCCAACGACACGTCAGCTCTCACAGTGTCATACACGTGCCTGCTTCTGGCCATGCATCCTGAAATCCAGAGCAAAGTAGCATCCGAAATCGACCAAGTATTCTACTCCCGCGCAGTAGAAATAAATCTGGACACGTTGAAGCAAATGGAGTACACCGAAATGGTCATCAAGGAAGTACTGCGACTGTTCCCTGCTGTGCCATTCGGACCACGTCAAACAAACATCATCTACAGTCTGTATACGCTGCACCGTCGTAAGGACTGCTGGGGCCCTAATCCGGAGCGATTCGAGCCATCCAACAGAGGCACCCTTTCACCAATCTACCGTTCAGTGTGGGCCTTCGGAACTACATCGGACACCGGTATGCTATGAACTCGATGAAAATAATGTTGATCAGGCTATTGCAAAATTTCGAATTCAATACCAACATGAAGCGATCGGATTTTAGGCTTCAGTTTGAAATTACGCTGAAACTGGAAGGCCCTCACAAAGTATGGATGACAGAGCGAAAATTACTTTTAAACAAATGCATGTCATCATCTACTTAATAAAGCAGTAATTAAGAACCGTAAATTTTTATCTCGTCCTCCACCGTGCCCTCCGCAGTACAATTCACACCTCACGCTACAGCGCCGCCGCTAGTCGCACCTGTTAAGTTTTTTTTAACTGGTCAGAACATTAAGAACACTGCTGGTAATTCCAACGCGTAAGAACAGTTCAGCAGAACATGCACACAAAAACTTCTTGGCCAAGCTTCACCTACAGTAAAACTAGGTTTTACACCAAGTGTAAAGACTAGTTCTCCACAAACGTCCAACTCGGTATGGTCATCTAGATTCCTGTCATTCCACAATAAGTGATTCGTGACGTGACAATGTTTCTGCTGCTGTTGCTCGCCATCGTGGGAGCACTGCTGGTGGTTCAGTACATCAAGTTACTACGCGTTAGCAGCTTTGCCGAAAAGATTCCATCCTTTCAACCCGTGTATCCGGTCCTCGGCCATATTCCACTGTTCTGGGGCAAGAGTACCCACGAAGCGTTCCAAATTGCACTGAAACTGTTTGCGTCCGCCGAACGCGTCGGAAAGATATTGTTGGGGCCTTCGCCATGGATCATCATCAATCATCCGGATTTGCTGCAGCAGATTTTGACGCGGAACGAAATGTACGATAAGCCGTTCCCGTATGATTTTTTCCGGCTGGGCAGCGGACTGATCACCGAGAGATGTGAGTGTTGGGATCATAACAGAAGTGTTTGTTAAATGTGAAGAGTTTTATTTTTTTATTTGGGTAGTGAACTAGCAAACATGTGAACGATTGTGGTGTGTAACGAATGAAGGAGGGAAAATATGGAAACTGTTTCAGTACATCAAGTGAAAACTAAGTCAAAAACTGTTCATGAAGAATAAGCAAGTGACCAATTGAAAATGTTCGAATGCCAATCAAATCGTTACAAGCAGCAATGAGAGTTAGGGTTATAGATGTAGTTTGGCCCACTATCATATTTTGGCTAACCTGGATATATTTTGCTCATTTTATCACATAAAATTAATAATGTTTTTAAATATTGTGAAAGTTATGTGAAAGTGTTTACACTATTTAGCGTCTTTCACTTTTGTTTTCAACTAAATGTTTCATTTAGTGGTAGTAAGTTCAAAATATACTCACGCATTTTCACACTGAATCGGTCCAAAATCCATAGGAGGTGGCATAATTGAACCCAACTTTCACGAGTTATTATTTTTAAATGTATAAATTTTGATCATGCGAATACGACTATTGTGTAAATTAAATCTGATCAAAAACACTTCTTAGCTCGAAGAAGCGCAAAACGTGTTAAAATAGTGATCTGAGACATGGCGAAAATATATTCGTCATTATCTAGAGAAAATATATTTTGGCCATACCCGCTAACCAGTACATTCAGGTGGTCGGAAATATGATCCAAACCTGGTCCAAAATATGTTACCACAACCCGATTGAAGTAGAAAAGGTGGGCCAAAATAAGCTTTAGCGGTCCAAAGTAATTTAAAAAGCGTCTTCATTATTTGTGATATTTCCTGCTTATTTGTTTGCTGAATTGCGTTGAATAAGGATTTGACTTGATGAAATAATCATTTATTGTAATGAAATCATGCTTCGAAAAATTGTATAATGACTTCCTAAAGCGGTCCAAAAAACCTCCGTTACCCTACCATTTATTATTGGAAAATGACGACTTCGGCACATTTTTGCTTATTATCGTGAGGAAGTCTGTGTTATTTTTTTGCATAAAAGATGCTCTGGAATATGATGCACCTACATGCGCCCGAGGACTTCATTGATAATTATAGGAAAGATTATATTGGTATTTTATAATATGTTAAAATATATTTAAATTATTTCTTCAATTTCAATTGGCATGGCGCTCGAAATATCTTTAAACAAATTCAAGAATTCATAGTTGGAGATGCTAAACGTAAATATCAGACTTAAACCACATAACATACGTGAAACTTGATACGGAATAATCAACTCCATTTCAGTGGTTTCAAGTGGCATAGAAGGACATCGATCGGTCTAATTTATTTTACCAGCTGTAAAATGAGAAAGGGGGTACCGTAAAACGGGGTAACTTTTAAAGTTTTTTGAAGTATATTCTAAATAGTTTTTACAACAATGAATGATTTTCAAATTTTTAATTTTTATTATAACAAGTACTGGGGATCCTAGAGTCAATTCGTTGGTAACATGTTTACCAGGAATTATTGCATTTGCACTATTTTTATTGTCTTATGACCGAACGTCAGATTTTTGTTTTGTGTTTACTTTAATAATACTCGATGAAAGTAGAAAACCACTCGAGAATCGCAAACAATTTTGATCAAGGAATAAGAAACTTTGAATGGGTATATAATCAGAAACATCATAAGCAATAAAAAAAATTAATTTTTCAATGACTATATAGGACATACATTTAATAAGTGATTGTCAGGCGAAAAACGAGAAAAATTTGTTTTGGAGGTATTTGGAAAATATGTAAAACATACTGCAAAAAACTCTAAACGATATCAAAGGTAATAAGCTACAAAATGGAACCAATATTTTTAATTGGGAAATAGTGTAGAGTGTAAATTTAATCATTATATTCTACTATCAAAGCTACCCGCATTACCAAAGATACTCCGTTCTACGGTAATCATTTCTATTCAAATAATTTTAACGTGGTTTATAATTCCGTGTCTTCTTAGTACTCCTGAACTCATGTATTTATATTTCCCGAACCCATTACGTCATTTATTTATATTTATTTAGCTAGCTTTAGTAAATTCATAAATTAAAATAGTAAATTCATCACCATTAATCACACAGGAAAATATTAACAAATATTACATTTAAAAGTAAGCATTTTCTGCCGATTTTTTGTGAGATGGCCACCCAACTGTTGACACCCAATTTTGAAAGCGGTACGTATTGTTTTTCTGTAACTGTGTGTGTATGTGTGTATTCCCTCTAATCCCCACTGGCCGACAGTGCACAGTGGTACAGAATGCAGATTTAGGTGGAATGATATGTTTTGAGCCTGAAATTGAAACTTTAGACTAAAAGTCTCTTCTACAAAGTTGTTCCTTATAGTTAGGCCCTCATTTTTATCACAATAAATTCTAGGGTGGTTCCTATTATCATTAAAATCAAAAATCTAACTTTTTTGTTTGAATAAATTAAGGTATACATTCTTCGGCAATGTTATAGCTGAGCTAATTTCAAGCAACTTTGTCCAAAAGAACTTTTTTGTATCTCTTAAATTGGCCGATTTAGAGCTATTTTCTTGAATTGAGTTAGGGTGGCTCTTAAAAAAAACAGGTTTTTTGCTCTATTTTTCTTATTTCGAATTTCTCAGCAAAGAAGTCTTAAGATAACTTTTAGATCTTAAGAAGGCGCAAATTTTTGCCGCAGAAAGCTTGTCAATATCTTTCGCCGATCAAGAGTTATTGACGTTTTTATACTAAAAATATGCACTTTTCAAATGTTAATATCTCTGGTTGGGGCAAACAAAAAAAAAGTTTTTTTGCAGCATTTGAAAGGGCGTATGTTATTCTCAATAGTATGACACAATTGGAGGTATGTTATATTTTAAACTCGTATAAAATCAATTTGAATTTATTCATATTTTTTACTATATTTGAGTATATCTTTTTTATTAGAAGAGATACAGGCAAAAAATTCAGCTATAAAACATTCGTCTTAAAGAGTTTTAAAAGTCTCTAGAAAATAACATTCATGAGAATTTTCAAATAAAAAAGTTATTGCTAAAAAACTATTTTTTCCAGGAACATCCTAAGTCAACTCCGAAAAATTACTCTAAAATGAGAACGTTAAGAGATAGAAAAAAATTTTCTTCGACAAAGTTGCTTGTAAGTAACTTAACTACAACTTTGTTGAACAACACATGTTTATATTTTGTAGAACAAAAAAGTTAGTTTTAAAAATTCCCTAGTTTGAGGACCACCCTGACGTTTGTAAACACCAAAAGAAGGGAATTTTTAAGAACAAAAACTTCTTCGAAGGCACTAAATGTCCAAATATTGAAACAAATGTACTAGCACATTTTATATAAATTTGTCATCAGAGTGGTCCTATGAAATCCATATTTTGCCAATAACTTTTTTATTTGAAAATTCTCATGAATGTTATCTTCTAGAGACTTTTAAAACTCTTTAAGACGAATGTTTTATAGCTGAATTTTTGCCTGTATCTCTTCTAATAGAAAAGATATACTCAAATATAGTAAAAAATATGAATAAATTCAAATTGATTTTATACGAGTTTAAAAAATAACATACCTCCAATTTTGTCATATTATTGAGAATAACATACGCCCTTTCAAATGCTGCAAAAAAACTTTTTTTTTGTTTGCCCCAACCAGAGATATTAACATTTGAAAAGTGCATATTTTTAGTATAAAAACGTCAATAACTCTTGATCGGCGAAAGATATTGACAAGTTTTTTGCTGAGAAATTCGAAATAAGAAAAATAGAGCAAAAAACCTGTTTTTTTAAGAGCCACCCTAACTCAATTCAAGAAAATAGCTCTAAATCGGCCAATTTAAGAGATACAAAAAAGTTCTTTTGGACAAAGTTGCTTGAAATTAGCTCAGCTATAACTTTTCCGAAAAATGTATACCTTAATTTATTCAAACAAAAAACTTAGATTTTTGATTTTAATGATAATAGGAACCACCCTAGAATTCATTGTGATAAAAATGAGGGCCTAACTATAAGGAACAACTTTGTAGAAGAGACTTTTAGTCTAAAGTTTCAATTTCAGGCTCAAAACATATCATTCCACCTAAATCTGCATTCTGGCCGACAGTCAGTGTTATTATGGAAGAACTCTCTCTACAATGTCGCATTTATGGTCATTGTAGACAGCTTTAGTTCGGGAGTTAGCTCTATTGCAGATCCAGCAACCCATTTCAGATTGTCTGGAGTGTCACGCCCATTCCGAGGTTACTTTTACTTACAATAAGCCCCGCATGTATGAACAGTGCTTTCCCGATTATGGCAGCTCCCAATTTTGCCAGCTTTTTTCCCGATTTTGTTAGCCTGTATATTTTGCTGAACTCTTCGGTTTTTAAGCATGAATTCTCGAGCATTATGCTCGAAATGATGCTTAACTGTTTTGCCACACCATAATACACTAATCCCCTGATTTACGCGGTGGTTGGTAGGGGCCACCCACCGCAATTTATCAGCTGTCCTTCATCCGATTAAGTTGATATTTTGTATGTGATTAGAGTAAGCTTGCCACACCCAGATCAGCTCAATCGGATGAAGCACAACTAAAAAATTGCGATGGGTGACATTGTAGGTCAAGGAGAGGATTATAAGAGGGAGGCGGAGGAGGTTTAGAAAAATACGCTACAAAAGGGGAGAGCGGCCTTAAGTTGTTTAAAAATGCTACGTCATTTAAGTCTACTACCGTAGTGTTTTGGTTGAAATATTTAAATTAATGTTTTGGATTGCTTTCTGCTGGAAAAGCTTTTATACCGCTTGGAATTGTTTTCTTAACTGAGTTGTAATAAATGAACATTATTATATTTTTATCAACATTATAATGTATTCATGAAAAATGTATGAAGGCGTAGTAACAAATCGTTAAAAAATACATCAATGTTGGTTTGACTTTAGTTTCCAATTCTCGAATACGACGCAGATAGATGATGTCATCAATTACAAGGGCTGAT